CGAAAAAAATTTTTTGGGTGTAGGTGCACTTTAAACCTTTTCAACTCAATTTTACTTATTATATATAAATATGTTGACAGCACATTTCTGCATGCATTCAAAGAACTGGCCAGTCATTATTACCACATCAAGAGCATGCTCTTCTCATTGCTGAGATCTTGATCACATGAGATCACATAATATCAACTTAATCCCCTCCCCTTTTTTAAGGATCCTCTAAATGAAAACAAGCCTTAGAGGATATCTTTCAAAAGAGCCCTCTAGCATAACCTGGACTGTAGCAATGTTGCAAGTAGTTCAAGGTGATCAATTTTAATCAACAAAAGAAAATAGAGGTTTGAATGAGTTGAATTACATAATGTTCATAAATTATTATTATTTACAAAATCAATCAATTTGGTGTAAGAAATCATCTGTCTCTCTTCTCCTTGTTCTCTATTTTATGCAAAAGTAGTTTTACAAAAGGAAAATTAGCCAGTCAAAAATTTGCGTAGACACAAACCTTGCAAACATCAAAATTCCTGAAGTGAGACGGTCAATACGGTGAATTGCTTTGAGAAAGAAAGCAAAGTGAGATTAGAAACATTTTAAAATTTCACATTTACAGTTGTCATTGCATTTCTTAATATCAGAATGCGCTTCCAACAAAATAGAATAAAACAACCCAAATATTGACAACATCTCCATAGTAAATACTTACTAAAAAGATTTGTCAATCCAAACTCCTTTCCAAGAAGGAATACAACAGTGTTGTGCCTGTACCTGCCACAAGGGTGTACCTAAAGATCATACTAGCAATGCAGGGTCAAACAGTAATGATGAGGTTTCATAACTTGCCTCCATGGATCTAGGCATTTCATAACTGCCACATAAATATAAGTACATCAGCCTATTCAAAGTAACTTTCTATTATTTATACCTTGTTATAGGGAATTAATGCTTGTTTTAACCTATGCAATTGAAATCAATTTTGCTTGAAACAATCACTCTTCAGTAAAGGAAATTTAAGCAAAATGTGGGCAAACATAGAGGAAATTGCTCAAAAACATACACTAATTATTTGGGTCAAAAGAAAAAAATTATTTTTGAACGTCATTATAAATTCCTTGAAGTGAACAATATTCCTGGAATTGTTCCTTAACCTACATGTATGTGTAGTTGTGGAGAGAAGCATGCACACTAAAGTCTTTTATAGTGTCAAAACACCAGCTTTTTTTAAGTGCAGCTAGTACACAAAATGCAAAGCTATTGATTCTTTCTGAGTTATCAAGAACATTTGGAAAGTGTCAAGAAAGTTTGGGCCAAAACATTGGAAATGAAGGTTGCAGAAGGCAAGGGATGACTTAAATAGTGTTGTAAGGTTGAGAGCATGTTTTACCATTGAAGACTTACAGGTTTTAATAACCTGATTCCTACATATACAAGTATAAGAGTGATATACATAAAATGAATAAATATGCTATGTACACAAAACTATTTAAACTTAAATTATGGAGAGTCCAAGTGTGCTGCATGTCATTAACAGAGTTCTTTGCACATACCGGTAGTTTTTTAATGGCACAGATAATTTTAATTACAGTACTGTAATATATAACAAATGGTAAAGCTGAAATCGAGAAAAACAAAGAATAAGCAACTAAAGTCAATGTAGGATCAGGGGCATCTATTGTTAATTAGTAGTTCCTATATGATAAAGCATATCAACATGGGTTGTCTGTAATCTGTGGGATAGAAACAAAACATATAACTATGTTCGCTTGTAAAGTAAACAGAGTTTCCCTTGTGATTCTCCATAAGATTACCTACAAATACAATAAAATTCTCTCCACAGGAGAGAAATTATTCTTACTGGAATTGAAGAAGGTTTATCAAGCACAACAATTTCATCTGTTAATGCAATGATTTTTAAAGGATTCCCTGTTACAGGAGGTTCATGTCTGTTGAAAATAAAGATTATAATGAGTATTTCAATTAAAAGACAAACAAATGTGGAATTCTGAGAATCAAAATTTTCAGGAAACAGAAAGGAATAAAATGAAATGAAGTATATGGACATGTAAGTCAAACCTGTGGACTTTGTTTCTAATCACATCATTGTCTTTAAGAATTCTAATTTGAGATGTTACTTCACCATTCACTGCAAGAAGACAATGGCAAAATGTATGTTATATGATACTGAAAAGGTTAGTAGAACATTTGAACAGACACTACATATGGCTTGGAGGCCCTAGCTTCCCCCATTTCTTTCCTCTAAAAGCTGATCACATTTATAATATCACTTTCAAATTGGTAACTAAAGGTGGAGAAAGGCTGACAGTTTTGAAAGAAACTGTTTGGGGCTGCGTCGGTGGGGGTTACGAAATAATTTGGATATATCAACAAAGTTGAAATGGTAAATTGGCCACGGTAACGATTACAAAAGCTGACATTTTGAGCATTAGCCCTTCATCGGAGCAAATGACGAAGGGCTAATGCTTGAAAAGTCAGCTCTTGTAATCATTACGGTGGCCAATTTACCATTTCAACTTTGTTGATATATCCTAAAGGTGGATAAACTTAATTCAACAGGCTCTCCGTGAGAATAAATTACTTTCAACCTGTAATTTTTCCAGCTTTTATTGCCTTCTCCTGTAGGACAAAATTGATAAAAGAACATTTATTCAAGGGCTGATGTAATGTCTCCTCTGCTTCGCTATAATCATAACCTAGTCTAAAGATTAAGCCTACAAAATGTACAACATTTTACATGTGCAAAAGAGAAAGGAATCAGAAAACAACTCAGTAACACAAAAAAGGATTTTCAAAGAGAATTATGTTTGAGTTGAAAATGAAAGGAGAACGTGCATCTCTAAAATGAATCCTTGCAATTATTTGTAAAGGATGCCAGAGTGTTAGTCATGAGAAACAGGAATTACTGACCAAAACATCAAAGTACTCAAGCCACTAACAGGACAATTAGGGAGGTATGATATACATGTGTACTGTAGTCTTTAACAGCAGACAAGGAATCACTAAGAAAATTTATTACAAGTAATTTGATTAAAACATTTTCACTCCATGATCAAAATATGTATTAGAGGCTCAATGAAATCATAATGTCACTGGCACTGGTTTTAATAGAAGCACAACCAACATTCACCACTCACATAGTATTCCTGGGTCTCAGAACGAAACTCCTCTTTAAACACATCAATCAAGCTATGGCCTACCCAGCGTCCCTTGCAGTAGGTAGTGAAAGTGAAGAAATAAGGATGGACACATCGCAAACCTAAAATATATAAAGTAAACGAAATAACTTCAAAAATCCCAAAACCAAATTTGTTCTATAAATTTAAAGTGCTTATTCAAATCTGGATCCAGAGAGACACCTAATGGTATTACTGACAGTGTGATCATTCAATGACACTAGGGAAAAAGTTTGAAAGGATTCCTAAACATACCGGCATGTGTAATACACAACTTCCAACAAAATAGATGCCAAACGATGGCATCTTAAAACTAAAAAACATCCCTTCCATCAGTTTTTTTATATTCATTGCTGTGTACACAAGAGTTATTAACTTGGATCTTACTATGGCTAGGCTTTTGAATCCTACTGTTACATGTATGATAATTTTAGGGCACAAAAGAAGTAAGAAACACATTGAGTCATCTGGGCCAATTGCAATTGAGGAATTTCAGACAACAACTAATTCAAAATGTCAACACATTTAAACATATACAAAGAATATATGAAGTTCATATAACTTAAACTGTGGTATTAAATACGTATGATGCACGATCCCTTGCAGTAGATAACGCTATTTATGCAATAGCGAAAATCAGACCTGAAAAAAATCAGGCCTGTACGGGATTCGAACCACTGACCTCTGTGATACTAGTGCAGCGNCCACGAACTGGGGAACTTGGATGTCGTCGAGCTGGTCAGTCCAGCGAGCTTCTTCTTCTTCAGCATCTGTGTCATCGTCTTCAGCCTCTAAACCATCTAAATCTAAATCCGAATCATTACTTAAATTTAACCTATTCCTATCTAGCTCATCGAATCCATCAAAGCTTCCTTCATCCCCTGAGTCTTCGAAAAGTGCCGCGACTCCGGGCTCTAATTGAATCTCGTCAGCCATTGTCGACCGCACGCGCTTCACTGTGAAAATTTTAAAATTCCCGATCTCGTGGCACTGCTAATCAGCTGTCAACATCTGCGCAAAGGAGGCCAAATGATTGGATAATTATCCTCCTAAGTCACTATGGCAACAAAACACAAAGAGCCACTAGGGGAGAGTGGGGTGAGATTGTAATACCATACTCATTTTTCACCGGCGGTTACGGGCGGTTCAGGGAAAGTTAGGGTTGTTACGCACGGGCGGTTACGGGCGGTTCAGGAGTCAATGGGTTAACTACCCCAGTACTTCCACAAGTTTAAAAGTACTCATTAAGAAACTGCCTCACCAACTCACCTACCCCACAAGAAAATCTTATCCCATCATTAGTCCTCTCCTAATGTCATGCAAAGCATTATTTCTCAACAAATTCATATTGATGTACGAACTGATATTTAATGATAATTATTTATTGAGAAATAATTTACTGGAATTTTCGTGCCTATCACACATAGGTAATCTGAGTGTTTATTTATCAGTAAACAACTGTTGCTGCGAGTGATAGGGAGATGCAGGTTTGGCGGCAATTTAAAACATACTGATACTAGTTACAAATCTTTTACAGTAATTACCCCTTTGATACAAAATTATCATTCTTTAAAATAATTCACTTCCTACAAGACAATTGTTGAATTGTCCAAAACATTCTCACCTCGATGTCTTTCAACTTTACAAAATGAGTTCTATGGCAAAAAGGCTGCAACACAGCTGCACAAAAACATGTTGCTAATAGGAGTCCATTTCATGTTGCCAAATAATTACCAGTAGTTGCATTTGACAAAAAAACTCTCGTCACACGCGCCTAAACAAAATCTTCATGGTGACAAAAGAAATCCAAAGATAGCAAGTGCATCAGTGAAAGTTTGTAGTTCACATTAGCTTGAGCTCAATCTTGAGTATTTTCCCATTCAAAACAATTCTTTTAGGCCAAATAGAACCTGAGATATTACCTTTTTTGAGGAGAAATTCCCATCAGTAATTTACGAGCACACTCCTGCATCAGATTCTATTAAGTATGAAGTCCGATACAATGAAATATATGAAGTTCATATATTTTGAACTGCGGTATTAGATACGTATGATGCACGATCCTCGCAGTAGATAGCGCTATTTAAGCAATAGCGAAAATCAGACCTGAAAAAAATCAGGCCTGTACGGGATTCGAACCACTGACCTCTGCGATACTAGTGCAGCGCTCTACCAATTGAGCTAACAAGCCAACTGGGAGCAGGCCGTTAAGTTGATTCGTAATAAACCCGTGAAAGTGATAAATCAGATACAATGAAATATATGAAGTTCATATATTTTGAACTGCGGTATTAGATACGTATGATGCACGATCCTCGCAGTAGATAGCGCTATTTAAGCAATAGCGAAAATCAGACCTGAAAAAAATCAGGCCTGTACGGGATTCGAACCACTGACCTCTGCGATACTAGTGCAGCGCTCTACCAATTGAGCTAACAAGCCAACTGGGAGCAGGCCGTTAAGTTGATTCGTAATAAACCCGTGAAAGTGATAAATCAGATACAATGAAATATATGAAGTTCATATATTTTGAACTGCGGTATTAGATACGTATGATGCACGATCCTCGCAGTAGATAGCGCTATTTAAGCAATAGCGAAAATCAGACCTGAAAAAAATCAGGCCTGTACGGGATTCGAACCACTGACCTCTGCGATACTAGTGCAGCGCTCTACCAATTGAGCTAACAAGCCAACTGGGAGCAGGCCGTTAAGTTGATTCGTAATAAACCCGTGAAAGTGATAAATCAGATACAATGAAATATATGAAGTTCATATATTTTGAACTGCGGTATTAGATACGTATGATGCACGATCCTCGCAGTAGATAGCGCTATTTAAGCAATAGCGAAAATCAGACCTGAAAAAAATCAGGCCTGTACGGGATTCGAACCACTGACCTCTGCGATACTAGTGCAGCGCTCTACCAATTGAGCTAACAAGCCAACTGGGAGCAGGCCGTTAAGTTGATTCGTAATAAACCCGTGAAAGTGATAAATCAGATACAATGAAATATATGAAGTTCATATATTTTGAACTGCGGTATTAGATACGTATGATGCACGATCCTCGCAGTAGATAGCGCTATTTAAGCAATAGCGAAAATCAGACCTGAAAAAAATCAGGCCTGTACGGGATTCGAACCACTGACCTCTGCGATACTAGTGCAGCGCTCTACCAATTGAGCTAACAAGCCAACTGGGAGCAGGCCGTTAAGTTGATTCGTAATAAACCCGTGAAAGTGATAAATCAGATACAATGAAATATATGAAGTTCATATATTTTGAGGTCAGTGGTTCGAATCCCGTACAGGCCTGATTTTTTTCAGGTCTGATTTTCGCTATTGCTTAAATAGCGCTATCTACTGCGAGGATCGTGCATC